AAAGAAAGAAAGAAAGAAAGAAAGAAAGAAAGAAAGAAAGAAAGAAAAAGAAAGAGAGCTACCGTGCATCTCTATGCTATTCATGGTATATTTTCAGCTGGAACTTCTTTCTACTTAAACCTTAATACAACACCCAGATATTTAAAGCCATTAAATATCTTGGATTAATCTGAAACTTTTTGTATACTTGTACTGAAAGAATTTTTTTTTAACACGGCTTCAATTCCATATGGAACCCAATTCCATATGGCTTCAATTCCAAAGCTACTTTTTATGAAGACCAAGTCAAGAAAAGGAGATTGGAAACAAAGCAAAGGTTAACCTTCTCGTTCTTTCTAACCCTTTCTAAATGGCAAGTAGAAGTGAGCCATTCTACTTGCCATTTTATTACGAAGCATTTACCACCATCTTTTGTTGCCTTCCAACAACAAAAAAACACAAGTTTGCAAACTGTCTGAATAGTAACACAGCACGTAATTTTGTTTGTTAAATATCGAACCATAAAGTGGAAGAAGGAAAATATTTGTGAGAAATATTTACTGTGTTTTTGCTTGTCAAATTTAAAAGGCCACTGGACTCCTTAAAGGTTGCGACAGCAATAGAAGTATGGATGTAACCATGAAGCAGCAGATAGGCAAACTGCTGAATAGTCTGCATTATGCTTTGGATATTGTGTAATTTATGCTGTGAAATTGAGCAAATGAATGAGACCTAAAGGTAAGCTGTTCTCTACAAAATCCACTCTGAGCTTACCCACACTAAGCCTGGCATGAAAAAGCAGAACAACTTACTTGTTTTGAAGAGGAGGATATGGGATAAAGAAAGAAGATTGGCTCCAACAGTTTTAGGAGACTGCATAGTTTTGTTCACCTGGAACAGGCATGTCCAAAGTCCGGCCCGGGGGCCAATTGCAGCTCATTTTCAAATTTAGAGTGGCCTTCAGCCTTTTCTCCCCACCGGCTCAGCCTGTCACTCATGTCCAGCGTCCGGTGTTTTTCCCTTCACCGCACAGCGGTTCCCGCACATGGTCGGCCCCCACACATTTTCACCTCACCAAATCTGCCCCCCCCCCCCAAAAAAAAGTTTGGACACCCCTGACCTAGAACATTCCCAAGGCAGTAATCAATGCTGCATTTAGCTACAAATGTTCTTTTGGAAACATTGAATCCAGGCATTCTGGATGGCTGGATGCTCCCGGGAGGCTGCAGGGAGGCCACCTAGGCCCAAAACCTAGCAAGCCTCCTTGGAACCTCCTGGAAGCAAAAAAAGGGGGGGGCAGGGGGGGGGGGCGGTCGACCCCCCCACCCACGTCCCATTTTTGCTCCCAGGAGGCTATCCTTCACTTACCTGAGAGCCAGACAGGCCTTGTGGTGACTCCAGAGAAGGGCGGGGCGGGGTGAGCGGGGCAAGCTGTTCTTCAGAACTTCCAGTTCGCCAAACTGGATGTAAAATTAACATCCAGTTTGCCCGAAACAGTAGAATCCCACCCCTGGTCTGGTATTAATATCAATTAACAAGAGGACACATTTTCCTAGTGGAATCAGGCTTGTGGTCATGTTGGGATAAGCAGTTGATAGTTCCTCATTTTCAGAAATGCTGATTGGCTTCCAGCTACCTTCAAGAAGAAGCTAAGGACAGATCATTTCTGAAGAGTGTCATTGCGACCTGTTTTTTTGTTATTTATGTTTAAGTGTTTTAATTATATTTCAATTTATCCCAAAGTGGGTTTGTGTCAATTTGTAAGCAACTAAGACCCTGATTAGGTTGCAATGGTGTATACATAAAATCAATAAATACATAAAAATAAAAATTCAGAGCCAATGAAAGGCATGGGATTGGAAGAGAGATCTTTTTATATACAGGTAAGTTATTTAAAGAACAGGAGAAAACTTTTGTAGCTCATAATTCACATATAATTAAAAAAAATCCAAAACATACATCATCAATTTTTGTTGGTTCTTAACTAGTGCTGGCTCATCTGTAGTTTATTTTCTTTAATATTTCAGTATTCTCTAGAGTGAAATGCAGACCACAAGAATAAATAAACCCAGAGAAATATATATGCATTATCGTGGCCCAAACCTGGCTCAATGAAAGAAAGAAATGACTTTGAAGATGCAACATAATTTTATTTGCAAGCAAGAAAACAGTAATACACAATTACAGTTTGGTTCTGTGACTTCATTCAAAATGATAGAGAAGAGGTAATTAATCTTTGCAATGCTTGAGATTTCTGCCACCACATTTATTTCTCTCTGATCTGAATCATAAAAAGACACACCTAGGGAAGTGTTACCGTGTACCACCACATTTTACATAAACATACCCTCTCTTCTCAAGTTAATATTGAACTATAATTAACAGTCTTTGGAAAGGTATAGCATAAAAGTGTATTTCTAGGTGACAAAATATGTATCAGCCATTAACAGCAGTAAAACTTGACATCATTCAGTGCTGTGTCATCACCCTTGCCCTGAATTCCCTCCACCTTTGTTCGTATGCCACATATACCAGTTGAGGGGCAGCGAATGCTCCATGGGCCAAAATCACCCCAACTTTGGCCTTTGCCCAGCAGGGGTTGACCATGACTGCAGGTGAACTGGATGTTGTTAGCTGATGTGTCATCACCTCTTCCTTGAGGGGGTTCCACTCTCAGAGAAAAGGAAACCAGGTAGCCCGAGTGGCAGATCTGGGGGGCAGTCCAGGTTCCCCACCTGCCAAAATAAGGAAAGATGGATACACATCTCTTTGGTCATCAGGCTGCAAGGCTCAAGCATAATGTCTAAAATCTGGGATTAGGAACCAGTTGAACTCTATGTCTGAGTATCAAAATTCATTATCTCTGGGCCTATAATTGACTTTCAACCTAACTCATTGGGTTGTTGTAGGAAAAAAAGAGGATCTTGGGGTTGCTGCCATAAGCTGCTAGGGGAAAAAATGAAGAATACATTTTTTTAACTCCCAACCTTCCCTTGACCACAGTTCCAAGACTACTCCATGTCACAATCAGAAACCATTAGAGCCCAGACTCCTTAGTCCAGAAATTGCAGCATTGTAAGCACCATTTCCCCTGAAAAGAAGACCTTTTCCTTCTATTACCCACTAGTGAAGAGGGGAGTCATTATTCAGCTAGTGAGTCACCTGTGGAAATTCAGTGCCCCATTTTCTTATTGGAAGTCTGAGCTTTTATCTCAGTTCCACAAGAAAATAGAGAGCTCCCTCTGGTGGCCATGGGGCCCTTCCCCATGGTTTTATCTGGGGAGAGAGTATTTTGCAATAAATAAAATTGGAACAACCTCTCATAGCCCCATTGCTGCCCTAATCCTGACTTGAGGCATTTTGATTGCTGAGACCTTCATTAGCAATGAACCTGATTAAGTAATCTGATAAATAAATCAAAGGTACTGTAAATAAGAGACATTACCATCAGTCTTTAATACAGTAACAAAATACTCTTTAGCATGTGACTGAATTGACTGAGATTTGATGTTTAAAGAGCTATCCCCAGAATTCAAGTATAGGACGTTAATAGCAACCACACTTCTGACTTTAATAAACAGCAATCTCACATCTAGTTCAAGACTGCAGTTCATGTCTCCCCACAAACAGAGTTATAAGAGCAGCATATAGATCCATGGATTGCATAATGAGAAAAGTGTCAGGGAGACTAAAGTCAATAAAGGGGTGTTTAGAGCATGAATGAATGGGGGAAGAGCAATGAGCACATCAGGAAAGAGCAAAGGTTGGAGATAGATTTGCTGTGGTCCACAAAATATTAGTGGCTATTTTTGGACTTCTCAGGAATAAACAAATCTTCATCCGTGTCTCTGCTGCTAATTCAGAGAGACCATTGCACATCAGTGCCTGAGAATCAGCTTTATTAATCCCAGTGCATCCCCTTCTGAAATCAGTAGCAGTAAACTAAGGATCAGTCATCTCCTCCCCCATTCCTGATCACAAGAAAATAAAATAGGGCATGAAAGTCAGTTACTCACCGTCCAACTGTAGACTCAATTGTATGGCCGTTGGCACAGTACAAACGGATTCCATTCAGAGCTGTATCATCCCCTCTCCCTTGGTGGGATTCTACCTAAGAAAATGAGACTCTGATAAAGTTCAAGATCAGCCATTTCCCCCCTTGGTGTCCTTCACCTTCAATTCTCAGATTTGCCAACATTTACCCATCAATATGGGACAATGAATTCAACCAAAACTAGTTCTGCCACGCAATATCGTACACTAAACTCGATGTCTTTGAGTATAGGATCAAAAACATGTTATGCATCAACATACATCTTGTGGCCTTTCTTAAAAGACAAAGTGGAAAAACTGAAGAATTAATTTCAAGGGAATAGACAGAAGTAAAAGAGCATCTGAAAAATAAGTTTTACCTTCAGGGAGAAGCCATTTGCATAGCCTTCAGAGCAAAACTCGCTGGAGCCCCAGGCACCCCAGGGACCTCCATTTGGTATAGTGAGCACATATTTGTAATTGTGGGCTTCTGTATTCCACAGGCAGCAGGAGATGGTCAGGAGAAGAGTGGTGCTGACAGAGAGAGCCATGGAAGAGTAAACCAGTCAGCCTCTTGATACAGAAATGTTTTCAGAAATTGCAGCCTCCAGAAACCACGAATCTTTTATAAAGTATCTGCAGTGCCTCCTTCATGAAATCATGCAATTCAGTTATTTTATTGTGTATATATGAATCAATTTTATGCAAACTTCCTGGACTACATCCTGCACTTATCTTCGCAAGATAACAGAAATTATTTGCCCACTGTTTCCTTCTTCCTAAAGCTGAGAAAGAGAGACTTGCCCAATTGGCTTTGGCTTGGTGACTTAGTGAACATAATTGGTCATAAATAGTTTCCATCATAACATTTTACTGCCTCAAACATTATTAAACTTTATCAATTGCAATACAAGCTGGGATGACCAAAGACAACTCTGAAAACTTATTGTAGAATATTATTCTTCAAAAGATGGTCCATGACTATAATGAATTTTCACTACAGGAAGCTGAGACTATTACTTAGTAACTGTTTATTTAAACATTGACAGCCTACAAACAAATTGGTTTCTTTGTAAAATACATTTTTCTGAAATTGCTGGTGTAATTTAAAAAAAATAAATGCTTCTGTGTCAAACAATATTTCTGGAACGTATAAACTTTATGTCAATTTTAGGGTGAAAACTTTGGTCATAAAAGTTTGGTCTTTGCCATCTTCCAGAAAGAAACTCCATCACAACTTTTTTTGTATTCAGAAGCCTTTGAGTCAAACTTAGTGAATATTACAACAGTTTTTAGAAAGAACATTAGTCTCCCTTTGTGCAAGAAAAGAGGTAAACAGAAGTTCAACAGAGAAACTGCAACGAAGACTGACCTTGAACGCATAAAATTATGAAATCTGGGTAATCAGACAACATCAGCAGGGACTGATAAACAGCTGGGTCTCAGGTTGACAGAATAGGTTCTGAATACATTTTACACACACACATACACACATGGGAGCTTTCCACAACCAAAATCAATGGGGAAGCCTGCAAGAAATTAGAAGTTGCTCCAACCCCACTGCTTTTTTGCCCATTGATGTTTATTCTGTTTTTCTGTTTCAGTAAATAAATATTGAGTTATGGTTGAAGTGCATTTGTTATTTTTCTATTTATCATATGTGATCATAATTCATCACAAAATTTTCCTGCATTGCAGTAAAAAATATGGTCAGTCTAAAATCAAATATTTATTCTGGTCATATCAGCTTGACTGCCTTTCTCTCAAAGTATAACCCAATTAGGTCACATGGTTGCCTAATATATAGTACATTAAGCTGCACACGCACAACCTACCACCATAACCACTGCCCATCTTTGCCTGATGAAGATATTATCTTATCTGTTAATGTACATACGTAAAAGCGAAAAAGAACTCATGCATCATCACAAAATCACAAGAACCGTAAAGTCTACAAACTTGAAATTTGGCACCCTCTTGGCTTCTAGGTGCTCACTAAGAAAGGATTTTCCAAATGATTATCAGAGCATTAGTATTTTGTATATTATTAACACGCTCTGATGCTAAGGAGTTCTACTCCCCCTCCCCACCTGAAAAGAAATCTGTTCCAAATGCAAAACACAAGCAGAGGAGAGGAGTTTCAGTTTCAGTTTTAGTTTCACAGCAGCAACCAGCTTTAGTACACAACAGTTGAGCTAAACCATGCCCAGGCTCCTTGCTGTCACCTTCTTGCTCACACAGCAAATACTGTTTCAATTTCCAAACAGCCCTCAACTCTCTCACACACTGACAGGACACTAGACAGATGAATACCAACAGATGCTAATAGGCAGAGGCAGGTTTTTTTCCTTATTTTCCTCCCCAAAAACTAAGCCTGATCACATAGTTTCATAGCGAAGCATGGGTATCCAGCTAGTTCACTATAAAAAACATATGATTTAACATCTTTCTCATATCTAGAATGTATGTGCACTTGCTGGACTCATTTTTGCATAGAAGATTGTGGACAAAAATAGAGCTAAGTATCTGTGGGAGTTCCAGAAGGACAGGCAGGCGTTAGTTAATCAACCAGACACTGTAGTAGTAAACAAATTAATAGACAAAGACCAGAAGAGCTCAGATGCAAGGCTACATAATTCCTTCTTATTCTGCAAGGAGACATCACAGTCCATGATTGTCCGTAAAGGAAGTAAAGAACACTTATTCCCTGAAAAGCCAACATTTCCCAATTCCAAATGATCATTGAAAGATGCTAGTTTCTAGTTCTTCTACAAATTAAGACATCAGGCAATGCTGTTAACCAATTAGTGAATTTTCCTAGCAATAACTGATGAAGAGGCCTCGCTTGAAATGCTCAATACATCAGGCTAATGCCAGGCTATTATAAATTGCTTTAAAATGGGAAGAAACAGCAGTATTTTCTTCCAAAGGTAAGATATGTGAGAAAAGAATTGGCATAACTTCTAAATCAAATCCTCTTTTTCAAAATTAACTATTTTTTCGAGTTCTCAAATTCCAACCTCTTTAATGTTCCTCTTTTCATGCAAGCAAAATTCATCACTGTTTCAGACAGAAGCAGGATGTACAAGATGCCAAATGTGTTTCATTTGCCCAGAACAGTTTTCCTGGTCAAGATTAAGCTCATCGGTATCTCTACCTGCTATGACAAGACTCTTTGCAGCTAGAAAAACAGCAAACTTCGCAAGTGTGTGTCTTATGCTGCTTTGCACAGGACCTGAATTTTCTGGCAACCTGGAAGCAAATTGCCAGTGTGATAATTTAGTGTCATAACAAAGGAAAGGTTTGAACAAGAAACAGAGGTGGGTATTTATTTATGTATTTCCCTTTTCAATAGGAGCTCCATTTTCACTTCCAAAATTGATACACAAACTTTTCTTTTTATTTTAGGTGTCCTTTTCTGAATGAATGGCATGATTCTCTCATAGTAAAATGCTTGTGGTATAACTGTATAAAATACACAAACTTTCGTGTCCTCAAACCATATTTCAATTATAATTTCAATTGAAATTATATTTCAATTTCTAGGAGAGTACAGAGAGTCCTTGACTTACAATGTTTCATTTAGTGACCGTTCAAAGTTACAACGGCACTGAAAAAAGTGACTTATGACCATTTTTCACACTTATGACTGTTGCAGCATCCCCATGGTCACGTGATTTACATTCGGATGCTTGACAACTGACTCTCATTTATGACGGTTGCAGTGTCCCAGAGGCATGGGATCCTCTTTTGTGACCTTCTGACAAGCAAAGTCAATGGGGAAACCAGATTCACTTAACAACCGGCTCACTAATTTAAGAACTGCAGCGATTCACTTAACAAATGTGGCCAGAGAAGTTGTAATAGGGAGCAAACTCATTTAACAAATTTCTCACTTGATAACATCAACGTTGAGTTCAGTTGTGGTCATAAGTTGAGGACTATCTTATTAAAATATTGTTTTTAAAAAATAAGGAATAGTTACAATCCAGGGGTGGGCTGCTGGGGGTTCACAGGGGTTCGGGAGAGCCCCTAGCTAAGATTCTGTGCAATTTGGAGAACCCCCAAATCCCACTCCTGGCTGGCCCCCCCATCCCTCCTGCCCCCCCCCCAGGAGTCCCC